AAAAAAAAAAAAAAAAAAAAAAAAAAAAAAACGGTTTTGTAGGTCCTTAAATAACAGCAGCAAAAATCCTACAATGCTGTAAGTTTGGAAATCCATAGAGCACTTTTCTTGAACTTTTACTCATTGCCATCTAATTTTTAAGCTTTTCCCTGTTTCTCTAACAGAAGGCTCTTTTTATTTAAACACATACTTATTAAATATTATTTCATGGTCTGTGAGAACCCGAAAATGTAGCAGGACTGCTCAAGAATTTTTGCAGAATCCTGAACTGAGTCACCAAAATGCACTTGTCCTTACTCTGTGCCAAATACACAGTTTCAGAGATAAACAAATTCCTTCACTCTTTTAACTGTTATATAAGATGTCATACCTTAACAAAAATTGCTGAAGCTGATGACTTTAATATAATTTTTTGATCATCAACTCAGGTTTAGACTTATAAATTAGCTATTTCCAAGAATTCTTTTATGCTAAATCCTCTCCGTTTCGTTCTTTGTCAATCATTGATTGCAGAACTGAAGTTTATGCTTCAGGCCTTGGAAAGTACAAGGCTAAAAAATCCATCCAAGGTTTACAAAAAAAAAAAACTTTTTTTTGTTTACAGATTTATATTTAAAAAGGCCCAATCTTTTCAAGCTTGAGCTTGCTCAATTCAATTATATGACGTGCTCATTTGCTGTTACACTAGATAATTTCTAGTCATACTGATTGTAATCGCGAAAAGCTTTCTGGGTTTGCTGAGACCACTAACGGCACGAAGTCTAATGCTTTGAAAATTTTAATTATTAGGAACTTTTCACGGCTAGAGAGAAGCTTTGTATAAACTGTATTACTCAGATACTGAAACCCCCCACCAGAATTGTTGCTTTAGCAGTCATACTTTTCAAGTCCAACACAGTTTTGCAAAGCAAAAACTGAAGAACTGCAAAGTGTAAATGTCACTATAAATTCCCTGCGGCACAGTCTGTGCCATCTGTGCCCCAAAAGGACAATGAATACTGCACTATTGAGTTCTGAATTGACATTTTTATACCGGGCTGCCGCATCAAGATGCCTTAAATAGTCTTTTCGCTTGATTATCCATACATAAGGCAAGGCCTTCGCTCTTTATTATATGTTTCATATGTTGTGCTTAATTTCTTCAGCTTCTGATTGTATTAATATCTTTTACTAGTTCACTGTTTCCAGTAAAAAAGTCTCTTTCACAAAAAGATACAAATAGAAATACTGCACTACATATAAGAAATGAAAGAAAAATTGGCCAAGCTCAGGTCCCGAGATTTAAAAAATTGCAAAAGAGCCGAGTCAGTGTGCCCTAAAACAGAGAGGACGAAGAAAACTGCATTATGAATGCACAAAAAATGGGCAAAAAAAATGCGTACTTTACAGTGTAAGAACCATTGTCAGTAACACCTTTGAGGTTTTTATCTACGGATGTAGAAATGACAATTAAATATTCTGGACTGGTGCTTTACTGACTGTGAAATATAATATTCACGCAAAACAGTGCGTCAGAAAACTTTAGAAAGTTGCAGCATTTTGCAGAAGATTTTAATGGGAGAATAAGAATAACGAAACCTAGGACTAATGAATTTATTGTTTTACAAAACTTTTTGGAAAATGTTGCTCTCCAAATCTCCCTCGTTTAATGAAACTCCTATACCTCGCCAACATTGACCGCTGTTTTTTTCAGTATGGAGTAAGTTTTTTCATTGTTCAATACACAGTTGCAAACGCATAATCAGCGCTTCAAAATACTGTTTACTGGCGAAATTATGGAGTAAATGATACACACAAAACTGTTCGAAAGATAGGTCACTTTTTTTCATGGAAGTAACTCTGTATGTGGATCCTTTTACCTCTTACACGGCAAATGAATTTCCAAACTGAATTTTAGCAAGTCGAAAGTCCTCATCCTGTAAATGCGGTTCTCTTCAACGAGTTCTAACCATCTTTAACATCTCTCTAGATGCTTCAACATTGTTCGGAGTTCTTTCCAGTTCCAAAAAAAACGACGTCGTATGAAGTCTGAGTACAGAAGTTTCCTTAAAAGTATGAGACGTGAAGTGCTCTGTCTGCAGCTTTCTTCGTGACATCTTTAAGTAGAAGAGTACGGCAGCGGCAAAGGAGGAAAAATCGACTGAAAAACAAAAAACAATTCTTCAGCTGGAATTCACACGGCGGATGCATCTGTGGAA